ACTTCATGCATTTTGCCACTCTGTGGTTATGTATGTACACAGTAAGGATTGACTTGCCTTGGTGAATTGACCCCTTTATCAGTATGTAATGCCCTTCTATCACTGTATTTTCATGCTATGAAGTCAGCTTTTTCTAAAATTAATAAGGCTATGTCAGCTTTTTTTTTTTTTTTTTTTTTTGAGATGGAGTATTGCTCTTGTTGCCCAGGCTGGAGTACAGTGGTGCCATCTCAGCTCACTGCAACCTCTGCCTCCCGGGTTCAAGCAATTATCCTGCCTCAGCCTCCCGAGTAGCTGGGATTATAGGCACATGCCACCATGCCTCGCTAATTTTTTGAATCTTTAGTAGAGATGGAGTTTCATCATATTGGCCAGGCTGACCTCAAACTCTTGACCTCAGGTCATCTCACCTCGGCAGGGATTACAGGTGTGAGCCACCCAGCTGGCTGTGCCAGTTTTTTAAAAAGTAGTGTTGGCCAGGCGTGGTGGCTCATGCCTGTAATCCCAGCACTTTGGGAGGCTGAGGCAGGTGGATCACAAGGTCAAAAGATAGAGACCATCCCGGCCAACATGGTGAAACGCCGTCTTTACTAAAAATACAAAAATTAGCCAGACGTGGTGGCATGCACCTGTAATCCCAGCTACTCAGGAGGCCGAGGCAGGAGGAATCGCTTGAACCCTGGAGGCAGAGGTTGCAGTGAGCTGAGATCTTGCCATTGCACTCCAGCCTGGTGGACAGAGCGAAACTCTGTTTTCAAGAAAAAAATACAATTAGGGTTAGCATAGTATCTCTTTCTCTGTTCCTTTATTTTTAATACGTATTTGTGACATATTTAAAGTGGATTTATTGGCCTAGGCATGGTGGCTCACACCTGTAATCCCAGCACTTTGGGAAGCTGAGGCAGGAGGATTGCTTGAGACCAGGAGTTTGAGACAAGTCTGGGCAACATAGTGAGACCCCATCTCTATTTAAAAAAAAACAACAAAATTATCCAGGGCTGGTAGTGTGTGCCTGTAGTCCCAGCTACTCAGAGGCTGAGGTGAGAGAGTCCTTTGAGCCCCAGAATTTGAGGTTATAGTCATCTATCATCCCACAACTGCACTCCAGCCTGGGTGACAGAGCATGACCCTGTCTCTAAAAAACAAAAGTTAAAACAATTGGATTTCTTATAGATGACATGTATTAGATATTCTTTTTTTTTTTTTCCACTATGACTGTATCAGTGAGCTGAGATTGTATCACCGTAATCCAGCCTAGGCAACAGAGTAAGACTCTGTCTCAAAAAATTAAAAAAGAAAAAGAATGTAAATAAATTTCTGGTCTGATAATTTCAGCATTTCTTTTGTATCTCAGTCTGGTTCTGGTGCCTGTACTCTCTCTTCACACCGTCTGAGTCTTTTTTTTTTTTTTTTTTTTTTTTGAGACAGAGTCTTGCTCCGACTGGAGTGCAGTAGTGCAATCTTGGCTTTCTGCAATTTCTTCCTCCTGGGTTCAAGCGATTCTCCTGCATCAGCCTCCTAAGTAGCTAGGGTTACAGACATGTGCCACCATACTTGGCTAATTTTTGTACTTTTAGAAATGGGGTTTCACCATATTAGCCAGGATGGTCTCTATCTCCTGGCTTCAGGTGATCTGCCAGACTCGGCCTTCCAAAGTGCTGGGATTACAGGCATGAGCCACTGTGCCCAGCCAAACCATCTAAGTCTTTTAATGTATCTTGTAATTTTTTGTTGAAATCTGGTCATGGTGTTGAAAAGGAACTGAGGCAAACAGGCTTTAAATGCGAGGATTTAGGTTTATCCTGTTGATTTTACACTGTGTACTATTCTCAGTAACTGTAGGTATCAGAAGATAAAATTGTATTTGGTGTCCCTGGTTTTCTGTGTTCTGTCATTTTTGGGGTTCTCTAGAGATTTCTTCAGTTGTGAAACATGCAGAAAGAAACAGTGGAGCTGGGCGCGGTGGCTCAAGCCTGTAATCCCAGCACTTTGGGAGGCCGAGGCGGGTGGATCACGAGGTCGAGAGTTCGAGACCATCCTGGTCGACATGGTGAAACCCCGTCTCTACTAAAAATACAAAAAATCAGCTGGGCATGGTGGCGTGTGCCTGTAATCCCAGCTACTCGGGAGGCTGAGGCAGGAGAATTGCCTGAACCCAGGGGGCGGAGGTTGCGGTGAGCCGAGATCGCGCCATTGCACTCCAGCCTAGGTAACAAGAGCGAAACTCCGTCTCAAAAAAAAAAAAAAAAAAAAGAAACAGTGGAATATTCTTTCATTGTATTCTACTATTGTATTTTATTTACTTTATTTTATTTTATTTTTTTGAGATGGAGTCTCACTCTGTCGCCCAGGCTGAAGTATAGTAGTGTCATCTTGGCTCACTGTAACCTGTGCCTCCCCAGTTTAAGTGATTTTTCTCCCTCAGCCTCCCAAGTAGCTGGGATTACAGGCATGCACCACCACACCCAGCTAATGTTTGTATTTTAGTAAAGACAGGGTTTCACTGTGTTGACCAGTCTGGTCTCAAACTCCTCACCTCAAGTGATCCACTGCCTCGGCCTTCCAAAGTGCTGGGATTACAGGCATGAGCCACTACGTCCAGCCCTATTCTACTGTTTTAAAACAAAAACCCAGGCTGGACGAATTGACTTATGCCTGTAATCCTAGCATTTTTGGAGGCCAAGATGGGTGGATTACTTGAGGTCAGGAGTTCAAGACCAGCCTGGCCAACATGGAGAAATCCCATCTATACTAAAAATACAAAATTAGCTGGGTGTAGTGGTGCATCTGTAATCCCAGCTACTTGGATGGCTAAGGCAGAATTCCTTGAATCCTGAAAGCAGAGGTTGCAGTGAGTCAAGATTGTGTCAGTGCACTCCAGCTTGGGTGACGGAGGGAGACTGGGTCTCAAAACAACAACAAAGAAAACCTGAAACCCTAATGACACACTTTAACCAGTGGCTGGAGTAGAAACATGATATAATTCTATGAATCATCTGTCTTCTGGTGAGCCTGTGTTCCTGAGCCATGATGCTCTGTGCTGTGATAAGAAAGACATGTGGTCTTTGTGTGTGGTTCCTGGTACAGAGTTCCTAAATCTCTTGGAATTTCATGAGTGACAAGGTTAATAGGAGCCTCTTTTTGTAAAGAAATGACTACAGGAACTGCTACCTAACTTCAGGGTCGTGATTAATGTCCAGAAAGACACCCAGCCTTGATCTTTCAACAGCACTAGCCCCTAAACTCAGGAGAGAAAAAGGACTGGAGGTTGAATGCTTGAACTCCTGACCTCAAGTGATCCACCACCTTAGCCTCCCAAAGTGCTGGGATGATGGATGTGAGCCACTGCACCTGGCCTTTGATGCTCACAGCTTTAAGACCTCATTCCTCAGTTTCCACTGTGTATCCCACATACAGATGTGGTAGGAAGAGAGCCTGGGTCACCCTCATTTGGTTCTGGCAAGACAGCCAGTTCACATCAGCCTCTGCCTGTTTTCTTGAACTCTCACGCTAGCCCACTCCCTAATGTCAGTACAAATCCCCAGCCAGGCTCCTTTTCTTGCTCTCTCAAGCCATTTCACAAGTGCTCGAGCGCCTATGCAGCTTTCCCTGAGATCTCGAGCATGTAAGTAATAAACTCTTTCATGAGTTTAGGGGTTTTGTAGAGGTTCAAGTTGCCATACTTTCTTTCCAGTAACCTCCTAGACTCATGAAATGAGACAGAGAAAGGAAAAACTGAACCTATGATAAATATTACACAAAAATGTTGAAATTAATACTTGTGCAAAGGAATATTTTCATTCAGTCATCTGGCTTTCCACAGACTTCCTGATCTTTCATGTTCACCCTTTTTTATTTTTAAGACAGAGTCTTGCTATGTTACCAGGCTGGAGTGCAGTGGTATGATCTCGACTCACTGCAACCTCCGCCTCCCAGGTTCAAGCAATTCTCCTGCCTCAGCCTCCCGAGTAACTGGGAATACAGATGCATGCCACCACGCCCAGCCAATTTTTTTGTTTTTAGTTAGAGATAGGGTTTCATCATGCTGGCCAGGATGGTCTCCATCTCCTGACCTCATGATCCGCCCGCCCACCTTGGCTTCCCAAAGTGCTGGGATTACAGGTGTGCACCACTGCACCTGGCCCTGATCTCTCATGTTCTTTGAGAAAAAGAAAAAGCTGGCTGGGCTTGGTGGCTCATGCCTGTAATCCCAGCACTTTGGGAAAGAAAAAGCTGGCCAGGCATGGTGGCTCATGCCTGTAATCCCAGCACTTTGGGAAACTGAGGTGGGTAGATCACAAGGTCAGGAGTTCAAGACCAGCCTGGCCAGTATGGTGAAACCCCATCTCTACTAAAAATACAAAAATTAGTTGGGCATAGCGGCTTGCCCCTGTAATCCCAGCTACTCAGGAGGCTGAGGGAGGAGAATCACTTGAATCCAGGAGGCAGAAGTTGCAGTGAGCAGAGATTGCGCCACTCCAGCCTGGACAACAGAGACTGACTCAGAAAAAAAAAAAAAAAAAGAGAAAGCTTATAGATTTTTATCCTCAATGGGAGATGTGCAGATTATAGTCTGAAAGGTGTATTCGTTTATTAAAATCTCATCCAGATTTGACCCCAAGTTTCATGAAATGCTGAGTGATATGGTATGTAATAAGGTAGAAAATGAAAGAGTTTTTTCTCATAAGGAATTGATGGTCTTCAAATTTGTTTCATTTGTATAGCATTTCTCCCATAGCTTCAAGGTGGTCCTGGATCTGCATTTAAATAACAAGGCTTCATGTGATCACAGTTAAAATACAGAAATAATTTCTGCATGTTCATAATAGTGTTAAATTTATGAGGAATTGAGTGTGTTAAGAGTCAGAGTTCTGACAACCAAGTCATACCACTAAGCCAAGACCACAGGATTATATGGAATTTCTCAGGAATTCTGAGTATGGATCCTCACTACTGCCAATCTCACCCATCCTCCTATACACACATGGGGGATGTTTTAGGACTCCATCTCCCTTGAAGATGTGGCTGTGAACTTCACCCTGGAGGAGTGGGCTTTGCTGGATCCTGGCCAGAGGAATATCTACAGAGATGTGATGCGGGCAACCTTCAAGAACCTGGCCTGTATAGGTAAGGGTGACATCATTTCTTGACTTAGTTTAGAACAAGTGTTTCTTGCACAACTGTTTTCCAAGATTTAAAATGTGGGAAGGAAATACTTCAGTCAGTAAACCAGACAAGGTCATAGCTAATTATGGACCTTAGAGTGTTACAATTTTCTGTAATTTCTAATAATTTATAGTGAATTTTCTGGGTCTGTATTTTAGGGGAAAAATGGAAAGACCAGGATATTGAAGATGACCACAAAAACCAGGGAAGAAATCTAAGGTGAGTTGCATTCACCAGAGTAATTATATAGCCCATGAGAGAATCTTAGGATTTCATAAATTTCAAAAGCCAAGAAAGCAAAGCAATAAGCACAGCTGCAAGTTTATTCATTCTTAGACAATTTTTACTAAAAGTGTTTCATGGAAACTGTCATGTGCTGGGCTGGGTGCCTAATGTGTCTAATCCCAGCCATTGGGAGGTGAAGGGTGGAGAATTGCTTGAGGCCAGGAATTCAAGACCAGCCTGGTCAACATGGTGAGAATCTGTCTCTACCAAAAAAAAAAAAAAAAAAAAAAAGTCATAGATGTTCAGGGTATGAAGAGAAATCACTGTGAAACAGTATATAAAAATCCTGGCTAGGGCTGGGCGCGGTGGCTCACACCTATAATCCCAGCACTTTGGGAGGCCGAGGCAGTCGGATCACGAGGTCAAGAGATCAAGACCATCCTGGCCAACATGGAGAAACCGTGTCTCTACTAAAAATACAAAAATTAGCTGGGTGTGGTGTCGTGTGCCGGTAGTTGCAGCTACTCAAGAGGCTGAGGCAGGAGAATTGCTTGAACCTGGGCGGTAGAGGTTGCAGTGAGCCGAGATTGTGCCACTGCATTCCAGCCTGGCACCTGGTGACAGAGTGAGACTCTATTAAAAAAATAAAAAATCCTGGTCGAGTGGTGGCTCATGCCTGTAATCCCAATACTTTGGGAGGCTGAGGCGGGCAGATTATCTGAAGTCAGGAGTTCAAGACTAGCCTGACCAACATGGAGTAACCCTGTCTCTACTAAAAAAAAATACAAAATTAGCTGGGCATGGTGGCACATGCTCAGCTACTTGGGAGGCTGAGGCAGGAGAATCACTTGATCCTGGGAGGTGGAGGTTACAGTGAGCCAACATCACATCATTGCACTCCAGCCTGAACAACAAAAGCAAAACTCCATCTCAAAAAAAAAAAAAAAATCCTGACTATTTTGGTAATAGCTATGGTCATAGCCTGTTCTAGAATATTCAGTGTATTAGCTTTCAATCAATTGAGACAGGGCAAATAACATACAGTGTCTCTGAAAATATTTAAAAGGTAATTCTGGTACTTGGTAATAAGGGTAAGATCATTAATACGAAACTATTAATAATACGATACTCATTTTTTACAGAGGTCCTATGGTTGAAACACTCTGTGAAAATAAAGAAGATCGTCAGTGTGGAAAAAGCACTAGCCAGATTCCTGATCTGAATATTAACCCGGAAACTCCTACTGGATTAAAACCATGTGACTGTAGTGTGTGTGGGGAAGTCTTCATGCATCAAGTCTCCCTTAATAGGCACATGAGGTCTCACAATGAACAGAAACCAAATGAGTATCACGAATTTGGAGAGAAGCCGCATAAATGTAAAGAATGTGGGAAAACCTTTACTCGCAGCTCCAGTATTCGAACCCATGAAAGAATTCACACTGGAGAGAAACCCTATGAATGTAAGGAATGTGGGAAGGCCTTCGCATTTCTCTTTTCCTTTCGAAACCATATAAGAATTCATACCGGAGAGACACCCTACGAATGTAAGGAGTGTGGGAAGGCATTCAGATATCTTACTGCTCTTCGGCGCCATGAAAAAAATCACACTGGAGAGAAACCCTACAAATGTAAACAGTGTGGAAAAGCCTTTATATATTACCAGCCTTTTCTAACCCATGAAAGGACTCACACTGGAGAGAAACCTTATGAATGTAAGCAATGTGGGAAAGCCTTCAGTTGTCCCACGTACTTAAGAAGTCATGAGAAAACTCATACCGGAGAGAAACCCTTTGTATGTAGGGAATGTGGAAGAGCCTTCTTTTCTCACTCAAGCCTTCGAAAACACGTTAAAAACCACACCGGAGTTCAACCTTATACATGTAAGAAATGTGGGGAAGCCTTCAAGTCTTCTAGTTCCTGTGAAGTGCATGAAAGAACTCATTTTGGAGAAAAACCCTATGAATGTAAACAGTGTGGTAAAGCCTTCAATTCTTCAAGTTACCTTCAATTGCATGAAAGAGTTCACACTGGAGAGAAAACTTACGAATGTAAAGAATGTGGTAAAGCCTTTCTTTATTCCACTCACTTTCGAATTCATGAAAGAACCCATACTAGAGAGAAACCCTATGAATGCAAACAGTGTGGTCGAGTCTTCATTTACTTTAGTCACCTTCGCAGGCATGAAAGAAGTCACACTGGGGTGAAACCATGTGAGTGTAAGCAGTGTGGCAAAGCTTTCACTTGTTTAAATTCCCTGAAAGTACACAAAAGAATTCATACCGGAGAAAGACCCTTTCAGTGTAGACAATGTGGTAAAGCCTTCAGTTATTCAAAGTCTTTGCACGTGCATGAAAGGACTCATACTAGAGGGAAGCCCTAAGAATGTAAGCAATGTTGTAATGCCGTCAGTTGTATTAGTTACCTGTGAATGTATGGAGTACTTAAGCTTGAGAGAAAGTCCAGGAATGTAAACACTGTGATGAAGCCTTCAGTTGTCCTAATTTACTTTGAAGACGTGACTCATGTGGCAATGAAATATTTTACAAATGTGGGAGGAACTTCCACTCTCCTGTAGGATTGCAAATATATCAATGGACTCCATGGACAGAAACCCTAAGAGTGTAAGGAATGTGGGAAAGCCTTCACTTCACATAATCTTTTGAAGATACCTGAGAATATATACTGGAGAGAAACTATAAAAAATGTGAGAAATTCTTCATCCCAGGTTTTTGTTTTGTTTTTTTGAAATGGAGTTTCACTCTTGTTGCCCAGACTAGAGTGCAGTGGCATGATCTCTGCTCACCACAACCTCCACCGCCCAGGTTCAAGCAATTCTGCCTCAGCCTCCCGAGTACCTGGGTTTACAGACGTGCCATCATGCCCAGCTAATTTTGTATTTTTGGTAGAGAAAGGGTTTCACCATGTTGGTCAGGTTGGTCTCTGTCTTCTGACCTCAAATGATCCACCCACCTCAGCCTCCCAAAGTGCTGAGCTACCATGCCTGGCCAAAGCCTTCTTAAATGTAAGCCGTATGGGAACCTCTTCAATGACATGTGCAACCAGTGTTGAGATCCTTCTTAGGAAGAATTAAAGGAATGGGGAAGAAGGACTTGGGCCGCAGCAGGCCTTTTGTGGCACCAAGTCTGAAGTTAGGAAACACCTTCTAGGGCAGCACCTGCCCTTGGCTCACATGCGACTGGATAGAAATGATAAGACTCCCAGAATCTGCCTTTAAGTTTTCATCAGTGTCCTCGGGTCAGACTGTGGGAATGCTGTGCTTCTAAAACAAAGGTGCATCCTACAATTCTCCCCCAGTGGGATCTGCCTGTGGACATCCTAATTCACAGACATGATCGGCATTGCATTATTCCAGGACTGTTTTGAGGTCATCTCCAGCTTTGTTTCCCATCTCAAACCTACACTTTGGATACTTGCTGGGAAACATGTTTAAACATTCACACCCAAATTTCTCTGTGGCAACACCAGATTGCTCTGAGGTGCCAGGGCTGCAGAAGCAGAACCTGTGTCATGGGACACATGCCCCTTGATCACACAGCATCCACTGTCCCATAATTTCCAGCCCTGTACCAACCACCACAGTCAGAATAATCTCAAAACTGCTAGTGGAGTCACACAGACATACTCTGCCATGTCTTAGCTCTAGGACACTCAAAATTCTTACCTTTCCTAAGTTGCTTACCCTGTTTTCTGGCACATTCTACCCTGAGATAATTCAGCGGCATATGCACTGATGATGTTCCGGCCTTCTCACCTCAGTGCATGCCACATGCATGCTGCTCCAGGACTGGTTTCATAGCCTCCCACTAAGACTAGCACCTGGCTCTTTTTGGAAAAGGACCCGCCCTGCAGTGCTCCAACTCTGTTGTGTGTGGGAGGTGCTGGTGTCAGGGTTCACAGGCCACGGAACTGCCTTGCTTCACATCACAAGGCAAGGTGAACTCGACTCCCATTAAACTGCTTCCTGGAGCTACCGAAGTTTTCTCCCTTCTCTGAATTGCACAGGCATAATAGGTGTCGGGTCTGTCCCTTGTTGGGGTCAGTCCCCCTGTTTCTTAGAGAGCAAGTCAGTGTGTTCTAGAAGGGAAGTGGCAGCATTGAGGGAAACCAGGTCACCATCCACACTTTTAACAACTTATGGTCTCCCTGGGTCCCAGAAGTGATCTGTCTGACGCTTGGAGACCTGTGGTTGGAACTTCCTAGGCCTCTGGTCTCTACCCTCCCTCAACAGCAGGGATGGGTGATGGGTCGCATGGAATCACCCAAAACGAAGATACGAGAGTCCAGAGGCTGAGCAATGTTTGCTGGCAGATGAGGCCTCAGTGGAAGTGATGGCTACTGTAGAGCTGCGGTGGAAGACCTGGTGGCTGAGCCATGAGATACACACCTTTGCACCTCTCACCAGGAACATTTATGGTAGTTTGAGGGGTTGGAACATTATTACTCAACCCATTTCAGGTCCTTCTTTTCACATTCTTGGGCTGCTATGCTGTGTTTTCGTAGAGACGTGGGAGCTCAGCTGCCATGTCATGCTTTTGTACTGTGGGAGCTCAGGAAGTTTGAAATTCCTTCACTATCAGAATGGGCTCAAGGAGCCATCTCTTATGATAGGTCTGGGAGGCACTAATGGGTATCTCTTAGTGGAATGAAAATGAGAACATTTCATTTTTTGAAGGACAAGTATATGTGAGTCTATGATGAGGTTTGTGTAAAACCCATTTGTGTATGTGTCTGAGTCCTGATATTCAGTAAGTATTTTCCTCTATGTAATGCCCTCTAATAGTCAACAAAGCTGTGCTGTGTTAATATCTCTGTGCTAATTAGCTGTGCTAATATCCTTGTTCCCTTGATCCTGGCATTCTGGAAGACAAGAAAGCAAGCAAGAATCTATAATGCACTGTGGTAGTTACTCCTGAGGAGCCAGAGAAACCTGGGGAAGAGATCAGAACACCTGGGGTCTGTCTGTCTCTGGAAGCCTTTTTAGTGTTTGCGCTGTTACATCTATGGGTTTGTGAGTTTGTATCTCTCTCCCTGTATGGACAGTGACAAAGTGGGATTTTTGTATATTTATCTATAGGGATATATGTGTATATATATTTTTAAATATGGAATGCTTTGGGTATTTTTTTTTTTTTTTTTGAGGCAGAGTCTTTCTCTTGTCAACCAGGCTGGAGTGCAGATGATCTCAGCTCACTGCAACCTCTGCCTCCTGGGTTCAAGCACTTCTCATGCCTCAGCTTCCTGAGTAGCTGAGATTACAGGTGCCCACCACCACACCTGGCTAATTTTTGTGTTTTTGGTAGAGACAGGGTTTCTCCATGTTGGTCAAGCTGGTCTCAAACTCCTGACCTCAGGTAACCCGCCTGCTTTGGCCTCCCAAAGTGCTGGGATTACAGGTGTGAGCCACTGTGCCTAGCCTTACTATTATTATCATTATTGTTATTTTTTGAGATGGAGTCTTGCTCTGTCACCAGGCTGGAGTGCAATGGCTCAATCTTGGCTCACTGAAATCTCTGCCTCCTGAGTTCAAGGGATTTTACTGCCTCAGCCTCCCGAGTAGCTGGGATTACAGGCATGTGCCACCACACCCAGCTAATTTTTGTATTTTTAGTAGCCATAGGGTTTTACCATGGTTGCCAGGATGTTCTCAGTCTCCTGTGATCCACCCGCTTCAAACTCCCAAAATCCTGGGATTACAGGTGAGCCACTGCGTCTAGCCAGACTGCTTGTATTTTCTTCCCTGATTTCCCAGGGAGCATCACCCTTAACATCAAATGGAGCTGGTGAGAGCAAACATCCTTGCTTCTGATATTAGATATTAAAAACGTGTTAGACCACCAAAGATTTTGTTGACTTTTCACATATTTCTTGTAGCAGTCTATTCCTAGGTTATTGTGGGTTTCTATCATAGATGGGTGTTGAATTATGTTAGAAGTTTTTTGCATCGATCAACACTCGTTTGTCCATCATTTGCTATTGTGGTGTATTCCATGGATCTTTTTCCATATTGTGAACCACCCTTACATTCCAGGGATAAATCTTACTTGGTTATGTTGCATCATCTTTTGAATATGTTGCTTTATATGGTTCGCTGGCATTTATTTCAAGATTTTTGCATCAGTACTTACAAGGGACAGGAATGCCCTCTTCCTTGCTTTCATGCCATGCCACACTTGCTGGAGAGCCCTGGCATGTTCTCCTTGAGACCTCATTTTTGCAGTAAGCCTTTTCATATTCTCAGTGTGTATGTGCACCACATAGCCATCAGTGTCAACATCCGAACCACACCTTTTCAGGCAACTGTAACAGTTGGCACTATTAGCAGGATGTCTAGATGTTGGTCACCATGCCACGGGTCAGCCTTCCCTTGCTGTCAGGTGCCAACTTGCTCTGCTACCTGGTAAATAGCATGCTCTTTGAGCTGCTGCTGCTTGCTGCTCTGTGTTCCATTGTTGAGACCTAACAAACTTCTGTCCCAGACTTAGCCAACCAAAGCTGGCAGTTCTATAAAAGTCTGACATTTAGGAGCAGTAGTATGGGATTTGGGCCCTCTTTAAAGTGGTTTAGGGCTAGGCATTTTCACTTTGCCTTTCTATGTAGAATGAAGCTGGAACTGATGCTAGGTGTTGGCCTTGTCTTACAGGTCTGGTGGTGGGGGCTGGTGGTGAGACTTTTATCTTGTGCATATTGGGACACCCATTGGTCGTCATTCCTGAAAGAGCAATCATTTGAAAATGGACAACTGTATCTGGTGAGGGTTTCACCTGCTTACACTTGTGGCAGAAAGTAGAAGAGAAGCCAGCATGTGCAGAGATCACATGGTGAGACAGCAATTAAGAGGACATCAAGGAAGACAGACTCTTTTTTTTTTTTTTTCTGAGATGGAGTTTCGCTCTTGTTGCCCAGGCTGGAGTGCAATGGCTCAATCTCGGCTCACCACAACCTCCACCTCCCAGATTCAATTGATTCTCCTGATTCTCAGCCTCCCAAGTAGCTGGGATTACAGGCATGCGCCACCACACCTGGCTAATTTTTGTATTTTTTAGTAGAGACTGAGTTTTTCCATGTTGGTCAGGCTGGTTCAAACTCCCAACCTGAGGTGATCCGCATGCCTCCCAAAGTGCTGGGATTATAGGTGTGAGCCACCATACCTAGGTGGAAGACAGACTCTAAGAACCCACTCTTGTGGGAACCATTCCTGTGAAAACAATGACAGGAGGGCATTAATCTATTATGATGGAGTTTGCCTTTTTGACCCAAACACCTGCCACCTGGACAGCCACTTTGGAGATCAGATTTCAACATGAGGCCAGGCATAGTAGCTCATGCCTGTAATCCCAGTGCTTTAGGACTAAAGGTGAGAGCGTTGCTTGATCCCAAGAACTTGGGACCAGCCTGGTCAGCATAGCTAGACCCCATTTATTCTATTTATTTATTTACTTTTCTTTTTTGAGATGGAGTTTCACTTTGTCACCCAGATTGGAGTGCAATAGCACAATCTCAGCTCACTGCAACCTCTGCCTCCTTGGTTCAAGCAATTCTCCTGCCCCAGCTTCCTGAGTACCCAGGATTATAGGTGTGTGTCACCATGCCTGGCTAATTTTTGTATTTTTAGTAGAGACAGGGTTTCGCCAGGTTGGCTAGGCTGGTCTCGAACTCCTGACCTCAGGTTATCCCCCGGCCTTGGCCTCCCAAAGTGCTGGGATTA